TGATGCTGCTTCATCTCTTGTTGTTTGTGATGTCAACTATTTCCCAGCCATCCACAGAACACCCGTCGGAAGCGTTTCATGTGAGCGTTCTTTTTCTGCACTTCGGCGGGTGAAGTTATGGACGCGATTTAGCATGGCTCAATACACTTCTCAGTGCTCTTGCATGTTACTAGTACACCGAGGCACAGACATCATAAACCAAAATGAAAATGTATATATATATATATACGCATTTGTTTGTTTAGAAAAAAATGTTTTTGTATTTATGTAACTTTTTCATTACTTGCCATCTTCAGTCTTCTGTGTGATAGCAGTTGATAAAAATAGCCCCTCTCCCTACCATAACCATAGATTGGTCATAACTTGATCACATAACACACAGGGTGTAGTCGATAAATAAAACACTCAAACTTCACCTCACCTCACCCATTCTTTACTTGTCATAACTTGATCACATAATTAGGCAAGGTGCCATGTATAGGTGCCTTGCCCCCCCCCCCTTCGTGGTATTATTGTAATGCACGTTTGAATATCTTAAATAACAGATTGGATCTTCTATTTAACTGCCCTCTCCCTTCAACAAAGTTAGGTCATAACTAAAATAGGGTGCACATTGTCACCTTTAATATTTATATTCGCATGACATTCAACAATTTGACACATTTTTAACTTTTTAGCAAGACCCAAGATAAACATTCTATCAATTTATTTTCAAATTATTTTTCAATTACATCATTTCCATAACTACCACAGTTACTTGTTGCCATGGAAACATTACAACTGCCAATATTATTAGCATTCATGTGATTTTTAAAGTAAATATCTATTTCAAGTATTACCTATTTTTTAAAGCTTACCGATATTTGATTGAGGGTAAACTAAAACTATATGAAGAGATTTAGGAAATTGCTGTGTCGCTATTGTCAAATTTGTTAACGAAAGCTGAGTTTTCAATTGCAATTCTCTCTCAAATTGCGGATAATTTACCATAATTCAGTATCATTCGCTTTACAGAACTTCAAATATAAAAAATGACCGTTTATTAAAATATTAAATATTAAAATCATTTGAGAAAAAATATTATTTTGCTGATTTTTAGGAGTTAGTTTAGTCTGTCATAAATTACTTCCAACATCCCCAAATACTGACCGGTGACCTTACATTTTTTGTTGTTGTTGTTGAATACTCTGAACTGTGTAACATTAACCTTAGTAGCACCCACTTTAATTAACAAATGTTGCGAAAAAGCAAGAATGGCATGATCAACAAAGTCATAGCATATAAGCATATCATGAATGCAATAAGTACACTTCAAGAATGCGATAAATATGCTGTGCGAATGAAACAATGACAGATCGATGGGAGATCATAAGTACGTACTTTAATTCGACTAACATCATATATTATTTGCAACAAGCGTTTTTACAACTATACAACAATCCACCGAAGATTCCAAATCACTTAATAAAATTGACCGAAAGGAACATCAGACTAGTTACTGAATAACATAAGCAATATACTACACATATAGTACATATTTATCTAAATGTTATTTTTATATGTTAATGCCAATTCTACTCCAAATTAAGCAACTAATACAAGACAAATTAAATAATATGCGAAATAATATGTGACCTATTAGAATGTACTGTTTATTGTGATATGTCCAAGCAGTTCCTGATATAAACAAAACAGGGAAGAGACTGTTTGGCACGGAATGCAGACCTATGCCACATCTGGCGAGTGTTCGTCAGTATAATTTCTTATTTTTGAATACAGATGTTCCCGAACTTTATCAGTGTACTTCAGTTCAGGAAGAGTCATGGATGTACATTGGTAATCTTTCTCCATTCCTTGTTTGAGATTAAAGTCCTGAACCTTTATTCCAGCTGGTTTAAATACTCTGGCACTGTTAAGTACTGTTCCCGCAATACATCTCGTCTCAATTTCGTGTGTTCGGTGTTTGAGCTTAGCAGTTTCAACTGCCATTCTCTTTCTACCGAACTTATTAATCGCCCTCTGTAGTAAATCATTAAAATGGTTATAAAGTTTAACATCACCTGCATTAAATTTGCGAATCTGTTTGGCCATACCTGGCGATATTCTATGCACAGAACTCTTATCTCGTGAGTTCAGTTTGAAGTAAACAATATCTTCCATTTCCCAACACATAATTTCTTTCAATAATATTAAAGATTCATCGAAATATTCTGCGATAAGCACGACTTTGAAAATTCTATCGAGTTCTTGTATTTTCATGTTTATTTTAGTCATATTATACATATGAATAGGGTCAAAACCTAAATCATACAGCATTGGGTTCTTCACACGGCCTTTGTTAGAATTAGATAAAAAATATCCGTCTGGATCACGAAGAAACATTTCCAGAGCATTGGTATCATTTAAGTGATAACGATTTCCAAGATGCATGTATGTAAATCCTGATTCATACATTACTACTGGTTCACGCAAAACTGTAATGTACACAGTATCTTTCGGCATAACCTCAGATATACCTGTGGAAATAAATATAAAGAACAGTCAGTGACGAACATCCTCGTCAAAACCAACCACGTGCAGGTTGTTCGCAAAATATTTTATCAGACTACGTCATCAGCTATTTATACATGAATGTTGGTTGGTTGGTTTGTTGGTTTACGATGCGCACGGTGACCACCTTGTTCATAAAATAAAATGAGACAAATCAACTTTCGGTATTTAGCAGTGTTTCAAATCGTGTATTATTACAAGACTGGCTGCGAACATGGCAGTAGATTGTATGACGTAGTTTGAGAAAAATTACAATACGAAAACCCACAAGTCTTCTAATAACATTATACAAATATTCTAAAAAAATTATAAATTCAGGCAAATGGTCATTCTAATGCATGCAGCAATGATGATATGGTGATGTCATGCATATACATACAATCATATCAAACATTCCAAATGTTAGAATAAATGTTGCTAGAACAAGATAAACTAGCAACACATGCGACATTAACAATTCATTACACAAAAGTGCTAGCCAATCAAACACTCACAACTACGCAATAGTTCAGTATAGTATAACACATCGACTGGTGATGACGTTTATATATTTGCTGCCCGTGTTGGCTTTCAGAATGTGATGTGTTATAAGGCATTGGTCGTCGCGTCGCGTCGCGTCCTGTTCGATATGGGACTCATAGCGACGTATACAACGCGTGTAAAATACATAAAATTCGAACACGCACTGTGCGACAATCATTGCCCTTTAAGAATTAATAATAGGAGATAATACACTATCTGATATTAAAAGAAGTACGATATTAATAAAACTAATACAACTACAATAAGTGTACCATGCACTGATTATTTCAAAACATCCATTGCAATCAATTGCCAAATGATAGCGTAATTATACAATGCTGAATTTCTAAAATTATAAGCAATATGATCATTGTTTAACAAGCATAATTATTAAGACAAACATTTGAAACTTGAAAAACACTAAAATGTATTACCGTTTTTCGCTGTTCTCGTGCTTATATCCTTTAAATAGAATCATAAATTACAACCTACTGTTGGATTCAGAGTGTGAAATACATTTATTGCGGCTTTCTGTATTGAATATTGTACTCTGTGATTGTGTAAATTAACCATGATACATTTAGAAGATGACAAGATATTTATTCGTTTTCAATTCAAGATGATACAAACACTATGTCAGTCTTTTAATTACTAACAATTCACAACAAATACACAAAGGAAATAGAAATTCACAATAGAAATAACAATACACAATAAAACAATGCATAGCAAATCACAAAGGAAATAGAAATTCACAATAGAAATAACAATATACAATAAAACAATGCATAGCAAATCACAAAGGAAATAGAAATTCACAATAGAAATAACAATACACAATAAAACAATGCATAGCAAATTACAAAAGAAATAGAAATTCACAATAGAAATAACAATACACAATAAAACAATGCATAGCAAATTACAAAGGAAATAGAAATAACAATACACAATAGAAATAACAATACACAATAAAACAATGCATAGCAATTTACAAAGGAAATAGAAATTCACAATAGAAATAACAATACACAATAAGACAATGCATAGCAAATTACAAAGTCATATTCAGTGAAGGGAATCAAAACAAATATCTAAATGTAATCAAATTTAACTTGTCTTTTCTAAAAGTCTGATTATATTAGGAGTGATTTTATTAGGATATTTTAAAACAATAACAGTATTAGTAACA